AAATTCCTTATTAAACAGTGCAGGTAATGTGGGGTATAAGGGCTTTTCTGCTGTTACTATTCATATGGCCACTGCAGCACCAAGGGAGTTTTCAGGACTCACAAGTCTTGAGTGGTCTGGTCACTCCTCTTGGATCAGAGATGTGCTCCTCCTATTCTCTGAAGCACAACAGATGGCAATAAGCACTGATACAGTGTTGCTGGGAAATGAAGCAATAACTGGGTTTGAAGGACCAGGCTAGCACCCAGCTCTGCCACAAGAAATTGCTTAGGCCATAAGTCACAAATGGAGCTGAAAGAGCTGTGTTGGCCCTACATTTTTACCTCACCAAATAGTTGACAGTGCAGTGGGATGGCTACAATGCTGTTTTACATGTTGTGAGCTGGATGATACTGAGGTGCTTTAAACCTCACTGCTGTGAGAAACTGGCTGCTAGTACTGACTGCTGAACATGCTTTCCAGCACGTAGTGTTTAATACTGCATGCACTAATCCAGGCCTAATGTGGAAGAGGAGATTCTGTTAAATGAATTGCATAATGTGTGATGCACCAGCAGCAGGAAAGGGCATTTTGTGGGATTAGATACAACCACTTAACCTGGTGGTGGCCTGTAGTTCCTGTTCATGTTCAGTGTGTGGAGCAGTCAGCAGGAGCACACTGGGGAGCCTGGTTGTGCCCCTTAAGAAGGAAAGTGAGGAGTCTTTGTGTGTCTGCAAGTCTGCCAGGGCAGATGAGTGATCTGTAAGAGACCTTGGTAGTACCTGCACAGAGTCAATAGGATCTTATCTGTGGGCTGGCTGTAGCAGATAATTACACATAACAGCAAAATAATTTCAAAACTCAAACCACTTCCTTTGTATCTGATCTTAAATACAATTTGCTAAAGGTCCTTGCCCTCACTAATGCAGAGTTTTAGAAGGGCTGGCATCAAGCTTGCAATGTTTTGAAATGGAAGTAATCTCTAAATGGCACTTCCAGGAACGCCAAGCAGCTGCAGTTTTTGCTGGCCATTGTAAAAGCTGCTGGTGTTCCCCATTATCCTCTAATCAGATCCGTTGTGATCCTGGTGGCTTCCAGGAAATGTGTGTGCTTCTCCCATGGCCTGTCTGCACTGGGTAGGCAGGATGTATTCAACATGCCTTCCCTTTCTGCCTAAAAATCAGGGGTCTCAGTTTTGTCAGCTTGAAACTGCTGTAAAAAATCAGCGTCAGACTCCTGAAGTGTCATTTACAGCTAGGCTGGAACAGGGACTGAGGCTGGGAGGGAGTCTTGCCTGTGTTAGTCCCATGGCCTCGCTATTGCAGATCCAGACCAGGGTGCTTGGCCACCTGGGCGCATGCTGGCTCGTGTTCAGCCGTTGTCAACCAGCTCCCCTTGGTCCTTTCCTGCCAGGCAGCTTTCCAGGCCTCTCTGCCCCAAGCCTGAAGTGCTTGGAGTGGTTGTGACACAAGTGTAAGCGTTGAGTCAAGGATGTGGCAAGATCTCAAGAAACAAAGTTGCTGTAATAGTTATTTGTAGTGACAGAATCAGTGAATAATTTTCAGTCGCGTAAGATCTAGTGAGACTGTGTTTTTCTGGCATACATAGCAGAACCTGTGCTTTTGTCTTATCCAACTTAAAGAAGAGTAACAAACCTGAAATGCAGTCTCTGTTGAAGGCTCAGGGAAGCAGTAAAATAGGGAACAAAGTGACTCTGATGGTAGCAATATTCTTAAAATATGTGCTGTGGTGTAATTTAGAAGTTGAAGTTTTTGTGGTAGCTGCAAATGTTTCTAAAGGGCTATATCTTCTGTCAGGCTGGACTTTTTAGAAGAGTTTATTATTTTTCTACAGACTATAAGCATGACTAGTTGCAAACTGGGGAAGGGAGGATTGATTGTGACTGGTCGTCGTGTTTCTATCTATTGAGTATCTTCAGTGATGTCAAGGAGCCATGGCATGCAGCTGGCTAAAATCAGCACCAAAATAGGATTATTTCTGTTCTGTTTAAGCTCAGTTTGAGGAATCAGGCGCATGGTGAATTCAGTAACTCTGGAACTCGCAGGGGGGAACTGAGCTGCATATTTAGTCCTCCTAAATTAGTTTGTGTGGCTGTAACTGAGCTAACAACAAGCTCCCTGAAAACTCTGCCAGTCTCTAGTACCTAGCAGCCTGGCTGAGTTTAACAGATTTTTTTGCCTTATATCAGTGAAATTGTAGGGAAAAACTATTCTGTGAGCTCTACTTAAAATTAGATTTATTGCTTAATTTGGTCTTTTTTTTATCATGTTTAGAATCAGGCTTTCAGTGGGGAAAAAAATGACCTCTAATTGTGGCTGTTGCTGCATTTTGCAAGCAGTCTTGCAGCTTCTCTTGGAAATTCTTGGCTTGCTTAACCCACACAGAAACTCAAATAGCATTCAGTGAGAGCAGAGTAGGCTTACGTAACTTTCCATGGTTTCTCTTGCAGAAGAGATGAGGTAATTCTCTCAGACCTGCTTGTAATGGCCTGGAAAAGTGTTTGGTTTCACTTTCAAATTCTGGGTGATCTCACCATGGGGATTTGACAGTGGTGCTCTTTTTGTTTGGGAAAAATCCCTGCCTGTAATTCAAGGTTTTCTGTTTTGGGGGCTTTTGACTCTGAAATCAGGTTTGTAGATAAGCCTTACTTGCTTTATGTTCCAATACAGAACCTCAGTGTGCTGAAGACCTACAGACTAGTTAGATATAGCTGATTACCATGTAATGTGGCTGCTTTTCTAAATGTGTGATGTACAACAGGGAAGCTAGGTTCTTGGCTGCCTGCACATGGAAGGAAAGATTTCTCTTATTTCTCCAGTTGGGTTTTCTGTTCCTAGAGTTCAAGATAACCCTTCAGGTGATACAACACTGCATTCCATAGTGATAGTTCTTGTAGGCAGGTAGTCCTTCTCTAATAAAGAACTGTGTTTGTCAAACAGGATTTAGAAATTCAGAAGAGTTTTCCAGGATCTACAGCATCTGCATGAGTCTGCATCACATACAGGGACATACTGGTGACTCAGGCTCAGCTTCTGGAGCAGTCTTGCTGAGATAAACCCCTCAGGGCTAGACAATTTGAAAGCAGAGGGGTTTTACTGGGAGGAATGAGACCTGCACTCCTTGAGCATCTATATGGGCTGTAGGCATAGCAGTGCTGGTAATCTGCTGGCACAGTGTTTTTTGTTTTGGTCACCTGGAAGCTGTGGCTGTGTAGAAGACAGATTTTGCTAAGACATCTTGTAGGTAGCTCAACCCTGAGTTTCGTTGTCTCTTGCATTTTTAGTCTGTCCTTTTGCTTTTGTCTTAAATCTCACAAAACTGTGTGTAAGCACAGGAATGGGCTTTCTTGGGAAAACCCCGGAGTCTGGAGGAGTCTGCAGCTACATGATGCAAGCACTTGAGTTGGAGTGAATGTGCCCTGCCTGGGTAGATCTCTGCTCTGCCCACAGTGCAGCATGTTCTGGACCCAGGCATGTCCTTGCTGCAGCAGTGTGGTGATAAGAGCCATTCATTCACTGCTCCTGGAGCAATGGCATTCGTGCAACTGGCCTTAAACTATGGGATTGTTTAAGTGGATTGTAAATCTCTTAGCTGTGCGTGTGCTGTGACAAATGGCTGTGGGGTGAGGACTCAGTGCTGCTGTAACATGCCCACACACAGTCATGAGTAGGCATCTACAGACCATAAGGCCATGTGAACTGGTGAATTTCTTTTATAAAGGTGAATAGAAAAACCTTCTTTTCTTGTCTATCTGACACGCTGACCCCATAAAATTTGGGTTGTAGGGCAAAGGCGTGCGCTGGTAAGTAAAACTGTAGCCAGACACTTAACAGTTCTGTAATCTGTTTGTTTTGGTTGTCTGCTTCTGTGTACTATGTAACAAAACTTTCCAAAGTTTCTCTTGTTGAGCAAGGGGCATGGTTATGTACTTAAGTGGAGGAAAGTGACCTGGAATTCTGCTCTTACCATGTTGTCCTAGGGTGACTAGATTTCCTCCTAAATTTGTCTCAAACTGGTATAAATATGAATCTTGCTTTTGGGATCCCTTCTTGCATTCTCTGTTGCAAATGATCCTGGCTGTGTTTGAAGGACCAGAAGATGCTTCTCTGGAGATCCCTTGCTGGGCTGGCAGTAGGACTTTTTGGTGAGCAGTTCCAAGGAAAGGGTTTGTGCTCCACAGCGCAGCAAGCAGCATGCAAGTCCACCTTCCAGAGAGAAATATTTTGGACACTTGATCAGTCCATATTCAGACTGCTGTGAACAGCAGGACAGCAGAGAGAAGTTAATTTCCAGTGCTAGGATCTCTGCAACCTTCCCACAACTGACTTGACTCAGAGTTGTGCCCCACAGATGGTTGTTGACCACTGCAAGATGTTTGCTGTCATTGCCCATCAATATTCCTCAAGGTGCACTGATTTATTAAACAGACACTGAGGATGTTGAGACTTCAGAAATGCCTGTGGAGGCAAAACATGTAGTATTAGAAACACAGGTGGATGGACCAGCTTAACTTTCAAAGAAAGACAAAATAACTAGGGCAAGTTATGTAACAATTTTTTTTTCATCATGGGAAGAGTAATTTTAAATATTTGTGCAGGCAAATATAAAACAGGTCTATTCAGCTTAGTAAACATTTTTTTAGTCTGCTTTTGAACTCAGAAAGAGAGCAGTGCTCTCTCGAGTTAAAACTTTTCCAGTTTGTTTTACCCTGTTTAACAACAGCTGTTGAATATGCTGCTTGAATTAGGACGTGGTAAATGCATTTTGGCTGGTCTTCTGAGCATTACTAGCCCAGATGTTTTGATTTTTCTTGTTCAGTTAGTGTTTTGCTCATAAGAAATCGCATAGTGTTACACTGTGGGGCCACTTGGGCACTGGTTTATTGAATGAGCAATTTAGTAGCCTTAATGAATTTTTCCCCCCCAATCTTTTCACTGTAGTTATTGGTTGTTGGTCTTTTTTGTTCTGTTTCATAGCTAAAAAATTCTGCTTTTTTTCAGGCTCACATTAAATTTCCTATTGACTATCCATATTCACCACCTACCTTCAGATTCCTGACCAAAATGTGGCACCCCAACATTTATGAGGTAAGGTATTTTTTTAAAACAATTGTCTTCTGGGGTGTGTGAGAGAGCTTTGTGCTTCCTTAAACTCAGTATGTGTATGGGTTACTTTCAGAGAGTACCCAAGGCTGTGGGCTGTCAGCAATTGGATCACAATAGAACAACACAGCAGGTCCAGGAGAGGAATGATTCCATATAGAGGCAATTGGTTCAATATCACCCAATTCCATAGAGCTGTATTGGAAGGCTGAAAGCCTGTTTTGGTTCAGAACTTGACCTTTAGTGGAGGTCAGCCAAATCCTAGCTGAAGAACTTTTGGGTGTCCTAGAAGAATGTCAGCCTGGTGAGAAGCACTGCCTCTGTTGTTTTGGGAGCTAAAGGATTTCACAATGTTCCTTTTGCTGCAGGTCTCTCACCTTATCACAGGTTTTCTTATGAGAGGTTTTGCAGACTTCCTTTGAACCCACCTGAAAACTGGAATGTCATTCTCTTCAATCCCATGAACAAATAAAGCCCTCAGTTGATATCTTGGGCTTGCAAAGTCCTTTTCTGTTAAGTTCTTGCTGCCAGATGCCCAGCTTGGAATGGGTGTGCTTCAAATGGTGAGAAGTGCAGTGATGGCTTAGTAATAAATGTCTAGAAACCTTGCCAAACTTCAGTGCAGAACAGAATACTAACCCATTTTAATTATTAACTGATCCAGGGAATTGCCCTAAGTCCGGGGACATCCTCACATCAGTTATCTGACAGTTTTGTGATGTAGGTTTTGTACTTGGCACAGGATCTTTCCTGTAGCCAAGAATGATGTTTTTCTTTAAGGCTCTATTTCAGTTACAGGGAATTTTGATCTATAAATAAAGACAATTTTGAAATCTTCAGATAATTGCAGACACATACTGTGGGTATTGATTCTGAATCTGGAAATCCTCATGCAGGAGGTGAGTGGCAAATGGCTACCAAAATAAAATGTACAAAAACAAGCCTTGGAAAGGACCTCTCCCTGTCCTGGTGAGAAAGATGAAAAATTGACTAGAAATGACTGAAGGCAGCAGGAGGAACTAACCCAAAACTTGATGTGTGTATTTTGGGTTTGCTCTTCAAATACACAAGCTCTCAGCTTTGTGCTTTGTGTTTATAGGAGTATTTCTTGAAGCTGAGGGAATCTGAAGCAGCTTGCAGGCTGTTTTGGAAACATTTAAGCAATGAAGATGAGGCACTGGGGTAACTTCAGATGAAACTGAGACTATCTCAGCCAAGTGTTTGATGTTTGAGGGTTTTCAGGAGGAGGAGGACAATAATCCCCTCTTAGTGCAAGGAAGATGAAAGTAGCAGTTTGCAGAATCTGCTGGTAGGACCAGATGGAGAGTCTGGGGCTGACATTCCAGTTCTGAGCAATGAGACTTGAGCAATGTGTGTTTTTTTCATCTCTGGTTACTTGGGTCATCTAATTGAACTTTGGTAAAACTGCATTCACTTGCTCTTTATTTTTATGACATAACCATTCTCAGTCCTGATAGAAATGGAGGATATACCTCAATGGCAGATAAATACCCCATTCTCCTTGTTTGTGTTTTTCAAAAATGTATGTAGGGAGAGGCTTGGGCCCTGACTGTCCTCATCTCTAGAACTTTGTACTGACCTCATCAGGCCCCATTAAACCTTTACCTCTCCACATTCTTAATGAAAGTACAGTTCCCAAACATGTAACACTGATTGTGGCAAGACAAAAACTTCTCACATTGTTGCTTCCCTCTATCTTCATTTTGCCAAGTATCTGCTTGTCCACATGCTGCTGACCTGATTGCTTCAGGAACTTTTCCCAAGTGCTGAGATACTTCCTCTGGCCACTAGCATTGCATTCTTCCAGGAAAAGGTTAAAGGAAAAACTAATGGAAATTATTAGTGATAACAGAGTAGACTGAGCATAATCTAATATTAATAAAGTTAACTTCAGCTTGGAGTGATACTATAAAAGTTCAAGATTTCACAAGCCCGTTGGGGCACTAAAAGGGAAACTGCCTCCTTAAAGCAAACTGTTCCAGCAATGTAAGTATGTGCTTTGGAATTCAGCAGCTCCGGGTGCTGCCTTGCTGTGTTCTTGACTAAAACCTGCTTCAAAGTGACAAAGGCCTGCTAGATTAGCATACCTGGCATGAACAGTGCACTGCTGAAATCTGGATACAGATCACAACCCCCCAGGTGAGCTGCTGCTATCTGTAGCTGTGATCACTGGCCTGGGCTCAAAGGCAGATGCTGTTGCTGTGAGCAGCCCTGCTCTGTGCTCAGAGCAGTGTTGGAAGGATGTGAGACCAGGTGTGTGGGCAGCTTCCAGCCTGGAGTCCTGAACAGAGCTGATCCCATCCTCCGTCTGTGCCCTGGACTGCGGGGACAAGGAACAGCATGAGTGCTGCCCCACAGCTGGCTGCAAAGCCCATGGGGCCTGGAGAGTCCAATATCTGCTGGCCAGCCCCGGCCTCATCTGCACCTTCACCCCATCCTGCAGTAGGGCACTGGTGGGTCCCTGGAGTCTGCCTCAGTGGAGGATATCAGCTGGGGTGGATACTGCTCCAGCCCTCCTACAAAGCAGTTGTGTCAGAGTGCTGTTGCTGATGGAGAATTGGGTTGACAGCTTTCCTAAATAGGAATTATAGAGCTTTAAATCTATATTCAGGCCATAAGACTGGTGAGTAGAACACATATTGAGAATTATGTGGCTGTATGGCTTCCATATGCTGCCAGAATATTCTTCCTTTTGCATGCTGGAAGGGCTTTTCAGTGAAACCTTCAGAAAGCATCTCCTGCTTTTTCATCTGGTATTTTGAACAGATGTGTCCTAGGGCAGCTGTGTAAGCCTGCCCCACACCATCTGTTCAAGGTCCTTGTGTCCTGGGAGATGTAATGTTTTCATACCTGAGCTAGTAGATGGTGATTAAACCCCTCAATTCAAAAATTTCCTGTAGCTAGCCCAAGCTACCAGTGGGAGCACAAATTTTCTTTAACCCTACTTGGGGTCTCCTGTGATTAAACCTTGTGTCACTGTGGCAGTAGTACTTGCTATCTGGAAACCAATCTAGTTTTATGTTACATTATTACTATTTTTGCTTACTTCAGTACGTTCTTTAAACCGCTTGATTTTTATATTGGGGTTTTTTGCCAGTTTGCAGGCTAGCCCTTGGGTATAAAGTAGATCCAGGAAGAATTCAGAACCATTTTCAGCCCTTGTTGGTTTTTGCTGGCACTTGGGTATTCATATCAACAAGGTTAAACTGATCAGAGGACAGTCTGAATGGTGGATTTGAGTTATCAGGCCTCAGCCTCCAGCCAAGCTATTCTCAGTGCTTTTTTCTGTCTTGCAGAATGGAGATGTATGTATTTCAATTCTTCACCCACCTGTAGATGACCCACAAAGTGGAGAGCTACCATCAGAGAGGTGGAACCCTACCCAAAATGTCAGGTAACTGTGAATATGTTGTGCAGTGGTGACCTCAAAGGCCAGCCATCTCCACAAGACCTAAGGGCTATGGTGGGAGGGGTTTGGGAGGGAATTTAAGGTTTTGTGGGGCTTAGGGCTTGAATCAAGCAGGAACCAGACATACCAGTCTGTCTGAACATACTGGGCTGACAGTGCAGAGCCTTCTGTCCTATTCACAGGGTTTCATACTCCAAAGGCAAGTTATCTCAAATGTTGAAGCCTATCTCATCACTGTTATCTTCTTCAAAGTACCACTAGTGGAAAAGTGTGTGTAATAGGTTCCTGGTGCACACCAAACTGCTCTATTACTCCCTTTCCCTGCCGGACAGGAGAAACAAAAATAACACAGAAAAGAGAACAACTTCCATGTTTGAGATAAGGCAGTTTAATAAAGCAATAACAAAAGCTTGTGCACATAAGCAAAGGGGAGAAAAACAAATCTCTACTTACCATTGGTGAGCAACATTCAGCCACTTCCCAGGAAGCAGGGCTTCAGTGCGTGTAGCAGTTGGTCCGGAAGGCAAACACTGTGATGTAACAAATATCCCCCATTCCTCCTCTCTCACTTAGCTTTCATGTCTGAGCTGATGTTATATGGTATGGAATGTCCCTTTGGTCAGTTTGGACCAGCTGGCCTGGTTATGTCCCATTTTAGGATTTTGCCACTCTCAGGCCCTTGATGGAGGAGTGGGGAATGTTGGAGACAGCACTGATGCTGTGCCAGCACTGCTCAGCAGTAGCCAAAACAATTGTGTGTTATCATACCTGTCTAACTGAATGGAAAGCACTGGGGGCTGCTAAGGGAAAATGAGATACAGCTCAGCAAACTCAATACAATCTCCACTCTTAATTCCATACCATTTGTTTGATCCTACATAATGTATTTATCTTCCAACTGTTCCACTGTATTCCTTTCTCATTACTGGAATCCCTTTTACCCACACATATACCCCAAACTACATCCTTGAACGATATCTGTACCAAATGTACATTTTCACCCGCCTGTCCTTTCACAGATGGATATTATTCTCCTGTTTCATGGCTTCCTCCACCCCTCCAGATCCATGACTTGTGCTCTACCCCATCAGGATGGGTGGTCAGGACAGGAGAAGCAGCACACTTGATCATTGGTCACCAGCCTGGCTCACATCATCATCACATTCTCCTTGCTCCTCACAAAATTCATTCTTTGTCAGGTCATATTGTTCCTGTTCCTTTACTTCCTGTGACACAAAACTTGCACAGTTTGTTTTCCCCCAAGGTTAAATTTCCTTGAGGTACACACTGGGTCTCCCCATCCTTCCATGTTACCTGCCAAGTACACCCAGGTCCTTGGGTAAAGACAATCGCGGCAATGTGTTTGCCTTTTCCCATGGGAGGAGAATCCACACTGACTTCCCCAGCCACTTTCCTGTGTGTAGTGCAGGAACCTTATCTCCTCCCACAGTGTTTGTGGGCTCAGTTTGGGCAGGATCAGTGCAGTTAGCAGATCCCCTAGCATTGACCAGCCAAGTGGCTTCTTTTGCATACCAGTGCTTCCATGTCCCATTACCTAAAATTCTTAACAGTCTTCAGCATTTCTGAGTCTTTCCAGAGGTGTGTGGGTGGTAAGGGATGTGATATATTCTCTCAATATTTCCTTGCTTTGGAGTTTATGAGATTATTTTTAAAATTAGTCCCATAGCCTGATTCAGTTCTCTCTGGGGTACCATGTCACCGCAAAATGTATCTCTCAAGAGCTGAGATTGTGTTCCAGGCGGTGGCATGGTTTACTGGGTACATTTCCAGCTAGTTGTTGCCTCTGATGTAGCAAGTGTGTAACTCTTGCCTCGGCATGTGTGTGGCCCAGTAATCTATTTGCCAGGCCTCACCACACTGGAAAACCAGCCACCGCCCTCTATTCCAGGGATATTTCACTCACTTGATGGCAGCACATTTCGCATTTGTGGATAACCTGTGTGATGGCCTCTGTGGTCAGCTCCACCCCTCAATCATGAGCCCATCTGTGTGTTGCACCCCTTCCTAGATATCCTGAAGTGGCCTGGGGCTAGAAATAGCTCACCCTTTTGCTCCCAGCCTTGGTCTCCCTGAGCTATTCCAGTCTTCACAGCCTTAACTACCTGCTTGTTGTTCTGATGTTCTTCTGCAGCAGATAAGTACCAGGAGGCATCGCTCACCAAACACCATCACAGACAAAATAGTCTAGAATTAGAGATATTAATTAAATTTGTTACCAACAAAATCAGAGCAGGATAATGAGAAGTAAAATAAGACCTTAAAAACACCTCCTCCCCACCTCTCCCTTCTTCCCAGCTCTACCCCGTACCACAGCAGGGTATGGGGGTAGTGGAATGGGGGTCACAGTCAGTTCATCACACTTTGTTTCTCCTGCTGCTGAGGATGAGGAGCGTTCCCCTGCTGCACCATGGGGTCCCTCCCACAGTGTGCCAGTTCTGCATTCACTCTGCCAGCATGAGTCCACCCCATGGGCAGCAGTCTTCCCCAAAATGCTGCAGCATGGGTCACACTTCCATTGGATGCAGTCCTTCAAGGACCAGCTGCTCCAGTGAGAGCTACTCTCTCCATGGGTCTCCCACAGGATCACAGCCTCCTTTGGGCATCCCCTGCTCCAGGCTGGGCTCCCCCGGGGCTGCAGGTGGATCTCTGCTCCCCCGTGCCCTCCCTGGGCTGCAGGGGCACAGCTGCCTCAGCCTGGGCTGCTCCAGGGGCTGCAGGGGAACCTGAGCTCCAGAGCCTGGAGCAGCTCCTGCCCCTCCTGCTGCACTACCCTGCCTGCCTGCACGGATGCTCCTCTCACATGTTCTCACTCCATTCTTCTCTGGACACAATTAAAACCTTTTTCTTATTAAGTATGTTATCATAGAGACATTACCACTCTTTCCAGTTGGCCAGCCTTGACCAGTGGAGCATCTGTCCTTGGAGCTGCCAGGCTCTGCCAGACATAGAGGAGGTTTCTGGCAGCTTCTCCCAGAAGCCACCCTTGTAGCACCTTGACTACCAAAACTTGGCCCTGCACACCCAATACAGGATGGTTTTGAGTATTCTGACCAGTAGAAGCAACTTTGCAGAGTTCTGGCTGTTGTTTGCATTCCATTGTTTGTCTCCTGTCCTCCTGAGTGGTGTTGGAAGCAGCTGGTGGTTTTCTTACTGACAAAAATACAAAGGATCACTAAGGCTAAGAGACATTCAAGGCCTAACCTGTCCATGCTTTTGAAACAGCAGCTGAATTTCATTCTCATTACAAGACACTGTCAAATAAAGAATCAACTAGGTTACAAGCCTTAACTCAAAGTTAGGAAACAGCTTTGGGCATTAATTACATAAATCACACAAACATTTTGGGTATTTCATTATATTCAACCCTAGAGACTGACATGGAACTTATCATTGTGCTTGTTCTCTAATTTCTGCTGTCCCTCACCACAGTTGCAGTTTTTGGTGCTAATGCTCTTGAATCATCTTGGGCTTAAGGATGACAGGTCAAAACATTCCTCAGCAAATGCAAATAAAACTGGCCCTTCACTTGTAGCCTGCTGCCACCATCACCAGTTGGGCAGAGTGCCAGCAGAAGCGCATCCTGCTGGGGTCCCATCTGGCTTGGGAAAGCTCCAAAGTGTGAGACAGGAGGCACAGGGGCCAAAGATATGGGAGGGAGCTGCTCCTCTGCTGCTCAATTCTGTAAATCCTGCCAAGTGTTGACTATTTCCCCACAGATGAGCAGGGTTGAAGTGTCTGAAGGGGAAATTCATTCTTCAGCTGTGAGAGTTCACCTGTGCTTCTGAGGATGTCAAGCAAGCTCATTTATTTTTTTAAACACAATCAGTATGGGCTTTCCCATCACTGGGAACAAGGTGATGCAGGCATAAGTAAACACAGCAAAACCCAGCAAGATGTGAAGGAATGCAGCTCTGATGTGTTTGGCAGAGAATCCTGCTTCCTGTGTCCTGAGTGAGTGGTAGAAGGCTGGGGGTTGAGGCTCCCTGATCGTTTTGATTGTCCTTCTCCACATCCCCCCGGCCTCCCCTGCCCTTGAGCTGCACAGGCGAGGACTCTGCACAGTATTCAAGGTACTGGCACACCTGTATCTCCTGCAGATAACTGAGGTACTGTCTGCCTGTTGCTTTGTTTCTTGAGGATTCCCATTTGTCTTTTGTTGCTGCCTGAGATCTGGGCAGATTCCACTTGATCCAGTAACATGACTGTCAGTGCAGCCTAGGCCAGAACTTTTGACTTTATACCAGAAGGCAAAAATGCACTTGGACCAATCTATACCTACGTCTTGAGGTGGCTCTGAGAGGCCTACAATGTGGATAGCAGCTGGAATTTTAAAAAAAATTCATTTTTCAACAAGGAATGTAATAGGATGTGCTGGTTGGGAGCACCAGCCAATCTACATCATGTCTCTTTGGGAAGAAATTGATCTGTCTGAACCTTCTTACATTGATACAGGATAAAAAACAAGAACAGGTCTGTTTACTTGAGCCTCTGCTGGCTGCTCTACCATGCTACAGCTGCCTTGTCTGAGGGGCTGCAGATCCCTGACAATATCCCAGAGACTCAGCCCATGCAGTTTGCATCTGCTGCTGAGGTTTTCAGTCCCATATGGCTGAACTTTTCACTGGTATTAGTCCTGTCAGATCCCCCATGCTGGGATGCCTTTCTGTTACTGTCCCCTCTTCAAGGCAAGCAGGTTTGAGTTGGAGGACACTGTCCAGCTCTTAAAGGTATCAGCAGTGATGGAGCTGGTCTGATGTGCTGGATGGGAAGGAAGAGCTCAGAAAATCAACTGTACAATGGTACAGTTGATCAAACAACTGTATTCACTTCTAATACAGGTGTCTTGGTGTATTTAAGTACCTTAGCTGTAACTTCGGTGTCTGGACACCACAGTGAAAATTGGCTTTTCCTCACTGTTGATGGAAGTGTGGTAGAGCAGATGGTAAATCCAGATATTAATTCCCATCCTTGGCCTTCCCTAGACTTCGTTTCCTTTGCAGAAAGCTGCTGCATGATGCTGGAGCTGACATGCTGGCCTGTTTGCAGAGAATCAAGGGCTCTTAAATGAATTCTTGAGATGAAGTAGAAAATGATCTCTTATGCCCATCATTCCAACCCAATGAGACATTTTCTTCCAGAGCTGCTGTTCTCTTTTTGTACAAAATTATATAATTTAGAAAATGAATTGTATAAGACTCTCTTGTTGGCTGTGCTGAACAGTCTGTTCAGATACAAGTGTTTATTTTCAAAACCTTTCAAGGTACTCAGTATCCAAATGACCAAGCATTTCCTGGAATTGTACCCAGATATATGATCTGGTAGATGTGCTCTGAACATGCCCCTGAATCAGTGCAAACATGACTGTGGCTCCCAGTCCCCTTTAATCAAGGTCTGCAAAGTGGCTGTTGGGTAATGCTGTGTTTCAAGAGCTGTTCCCTGTCCCTTGTTTGTCCCTTCCACTTGACAGGGAAGCTGTTGCTGGCAGGAGCACTGGGATGGGTGATGCTGTCATGATGGCTGGATATGGGTGTTGGTGCGGGTTGAGGCGCAGTGTGAGCAGCAAAGGCTGCAACTCCCGAGTGCAGTGTTCTAGGAACTGCAGGAGAAAGCTCTGGACAAGAGGATGGTGTTTGCAGCTGGTAAATGCCAGCAGAGCAGGGCCCCTGGCTGAAAATCCCAGAGGACTGTCTGTCTGTCTGCCTGCCTGCCCACCTGCCTGCCAGGGGTTACATGGCTGGCTCGTGTTGGCTCTGCTGAATCCCGCTGGGCCCTGGCACCTTGCCTGGGCATCGAAAAACATCCACACTGTCCTCCCCTTGCTGTGCTTGAGAGCTGTTGCTGCAGCCTGAGTGGGGGGAGAGGGAGAGTCCTGCCTCAGCCTCCCAGCCACCTGGCAGGGCAGGGGAAAAGTAGTGCAGCCTTTTCTGCTGGCCTTGGGTCATTGCAGCCCTTCTCCCTGTGCAGGGCAGGCAAACAGCCTGGCCTGGCTTCCTGGTGGAGGCTGCAAGCCACCAGGAACAGCTCACAGAGCAGATTTCCAGCCCCACCCCATCTGTGGGTAGTGCAGACCAGCTGAATTCTGGTCTGATTGTAGCTTTCTGTGCTGCCCTGTCCCAAGCACAGACACGATGGGCTGTAGTCAGATGAGATTTGTGTTGTATCACCTTCCCTACACCAATGTCCAGGGCCTGAGGTTCGTGAGTACCTGTTGTCACTTAAAAACACTGTCCTCAGCTAAAGAGGACAAGTTGACTTCAAACAAGTTTATAATGCAGCACCTAAAGAAGTTGTGGATATCCAGAACCCACGAATGCGTTAGCTCTGACTCTGCTGTTGTGGTTACCTCTTTCAGGACTATCTTACTGAGTGTAATCTCTTTGCTTAATGAGCCCAACACATTCTCCCCAGCCAATGTGGATGCGTCAGTCATGTTCAGGAAATGGAGGGACAGTAAAGGAAAAGACAAGGAGTATGCCGAAATCATAAGGTGAGCTTTGCCAGTTGTGATGCTGGGCTACCAGCATTCTGCTTTGAATCCTGTCGAACAGGCTGCTTCCAGAATTTGCTGAAACCAGCTTCTCACAGAATGTAATTTGGTAATTAATTTCAGTGTCTTATTCAAAGTCCATGCTTCAGGTCCCTCCAGAATTTTCAGCACACAGAAACAGTGCAAACTTCTGGGGCAGGAGGACTGGGCTGATTTGTCTTCAAATTGTTCTTTTTTCAGACTAATCTGTCATGATGCTCTGCAAAACCTATTGGCTACTAGTAAATCCCAGTCTAAGTCCCTGCTTATCTTTAAGCCCTGCATTGCTTGGGATGTGATGCAAACTGACTGCATCCTACTAATTTTTGTGCGTAATGCATGCACGAATCATAATCTTGTCCCTCCAATTCAAAGGAGCCTCAGCAGGATTTGTCAAGGGCTTGCAGAGCTGGGTTGGATTAGCTGGAACCAGTGCTCAGTCCTGCCCTTGGAGAAGTCCATGGTTCATCAGGAGCTGCAGGGGGATGATGTGAGCGTGGGCCAGGGCTGCTGTGGAGGGACAGCCCAGCCTGGAGCAGGACTGGTGGCGTGAGGCCACATCTGCATTGTCCCTGCCATCTGGGCAGGCAGGATGTGGCCCTGGGTGGGGCCAGCGGGGCTCTGCCTGTGCAGAGAATCCTCGGGTCCCTGGGCTCCAGCAGGGCTGGGTGCACTCCATGCAGGGAATGGCAGACTGAGGGCCCTGGGTGGGCGAGGGGACAGGCTGCCATCTGCTCCTCCTGCTGGGATGCAGCACCAGGCCTGGCTCGGGGTCATGGAAAACACTTGGCTCCTGTGAGCCCCAGGCTGTGCTCTGGGGTGTGCCATGAGCCCCAGCTGCTCTGCCCCTCCAGTGGGAGCTGGGAGCTGCCAAAGGCTTGTGGGAATTGCAGTTTTGAGCATGCTGTGGGAGAGCAGTCAGCAGCAGAGTCAATAAATCACCCTAGGAAATCCCTGACCATCCCTGCAGTAGTGAATGGAATTTGCTTTGGCCTCTGGCAGGTCTCTAGTGCAGAGCCTGTGGAATAGCTGATTTCATGAGAGGGTGTGTGCTGCAAACCCCCTTGGCATGCTCCCAGGCCTGAGGCTGCAGGAACCAAATCTGTTTCCAGTGCTGTTTGTGGTGCGTCCTGCCAACCTCAGCTCCCTTCCCAGCTGCCGGGAGGGCGGGGCAGGGCCTGGAGAGCAGGCGGGGAGCTGAGCCACGGCACCCGGCCCTGCTCACATTCCTGTGTGTCCTTTTCCCGCAGGAAACAGGTTTTGGCTACCAAAGCTGAGGCAGAGAAGGATGGCGTGAAGGTCCCCACTACACTGGCAGAGTACTGCATCAAAACTAAAGTGCCTTCCAATGACAACAGCTCAGATTTGCTTTACGACGACTTGTACGATGACGACATTGACGATGAAGACGAGGAGGAGGAGGATGCCGACTGTTACGATGATGATGATTCTGGCAACGAGGAGTCGTGACCTGCTCCCTCTATGCCCCTGTACTGCCCTGCCGACTCAGGCCAGAAGGGAGCAGCGGTAACCTAGCAGCAGTCCAGCAAAAAAGTGGGGGGGAGGGGTGTCAAAAAAAAAAAAAAAAAAAAAAAACCCAACACAAAACTTTGTCTCCTGCTGTCTCCTGTTGTATGGATCTGTTCGCTCCTTTTTTATGGACCTCTTAGAGACCCTCCACAGAATGTCTGAATTCTTGCATTCTTAACCCTTTCATCACTGTATTACAATTTCTTTTTAAAAAAGAAACTCCCCTTTTCACTTCTCTACGAAATGCTCACAGCAAAACAGGTTTGCTCGTGTTTAGATTCTTGAATTAAATACAGTCTTGCATTGAGATGTTTAATGTATTTAAAGCTGGAACAAACCCATTGGAAGCCGGGTTTTTGGGAGCTCAAAGTGCTGCATTTACTGGGAAGAAAAAAAAATCCCCACGAAGCAAATTGCCAAGGTTTAGCTGCTCCATTTACAATAATAGCGTGTGTACATTCGTTTAGCCTTGTGGTGGTGGCTTTTCCTTTATAAGGTGTGGGGCGGAGAGTGTTAAAGCTACTGTGTGTTGAGCTTGATGGGATGTTACTGAAAGGTACAGTATTCCTTTTCAGCCTGCTAAGTTAGGAAATAGCTGGCCCCTGGAGCCGCAGAGGGCACAATCAGCTTTGTCTCTGGAAAAGGCTTGTGAAATGAACCTAAAATAAACACTTAACACTTCACATCTGTACAACTGAGCCCTGGGTTGCTATTTTTTTTTTTTAATTTTTTTTTCCTTTTTTTTCCCCAGGCTAGGATAGGGTTGAAAAAGTTCAGTTTAGCCATTCTGCTGAGATCTGCTGCCAGCTGCCCCTCTCTGGAGGGAGGAGAGCAGATGTGCATCCTGCTGCCCAGAGGGCCACCATTCCTGCTGGATTTATTTTTGGCAGTGGGACAGAGCAGCAGCCTCCTGCCCGTGCTGGCTGCAGCCCCTGCTCCCTGCAGCCCCAGCCCTGGGCATCGGCAGCTGCCTCCCATCGCCTGTGTGGGTCACCTGCGGGCAGGGGCTGCTCCGTGCAGCCCAGTAAAAACACCTGACATGCACTTGCTTAGACGTAGGTTTGTCTGCACTGAAAAGGTAATCAACTATAGGGGAGGTGAAAAGGTTTATGATTTCAAAAAAGACAATCCAGGTGATACAGTGTGAGATAGATCCTAGCTCTCTGATGATGTCTGGAATTCTGCCCACTTTTCAGAGGCATTGACTTCCATTCTAATTCTCTGCCTAAACATGGGAGCTGAAGTTATTGGGGTTTCGACTACACACAGAAGAGCTCCTAAAGGAGGGGAATTCTGTTTGTCCTCCACCAGCACTTGCATTTTTATGGAGGCAAATTCTTTACTGCGGTTTTTCAGCAGAATGGTAAGAGGTAGCATTGACTAGATTTTTTTTCTTTTTTCTTTAAGAGAAGTACTTAGCATGCATTTCCCAGAGGAATTCAGAGGAGAGCCCGCGGGGCCGGCGGAGTTGGGAGCTGTCCGTGTGTCCGGTCTGTCCGTGTGTCCGTGTGTCCGTGCCGCGGGGCAGCGCTGGGCTCTCCTGCCCGGCTCCCCGGGGCACGGCGGTGTGCGCAGCCAGCCCCAGGGCAGAGCGGGCCAGCAGCGGGTTCTGACGGGCTCTCCGCTGCTGATGCTCCGTGCTCAGCCTCCCGCATGTTTTTGAGAGCCCTCGGCAGAGCTTAGGGCGCTCCATCGTGGGCAGGGGGATCCTGCATATTCCTGCCCCAGACCCCTCTTCCTCAGGCGCTCGGCTCCCCCGTGCAGCGTGCTCGAGTTCCGTCCCGCAGGATCCCCGGATCGGCAGCCGGGCCTGGCGGCCCCGGGAGCAGCTCGGAGGTGCTGGCCCTGCTTGGGCGGGACCCTGGGTCCCCACAGGTACAGAGGCATCACCCTGACCAGAGCCCGCGCCTCCCCGCCGTGTCTCAGGGCTTTCCATGGTACGTCCCCAGCTGCGGTCCCTCGGGGGTGCCTCGGTGGGAGCAGCCTTGTTCGGGATCCGCGCCCGGGGCAAGGCTGAGCAAAAACTCCGGGGGCGCTGCCCGGACGGGGAGGAGAGGAAGGCCCTGGGGGCTCCGCAGGAAGCGAGCGAGGCAGATCTGTTCCCAAAGTGTTGCTGGGCTGGGGTTTGCAGGGACAGTCCCTGCCCGGCGGTGCATCCCTCTGCCCGAGCGGCGATTGATTCCTTGTGCCCGGCGCTGCCTCGGCCGCCCGCCCTCCTGCTTGCATGTTACCTGGGAAGGCAGCTGCACCCTCCTGAGCTGTCAGCCTTCCTCCAGCAAGGACTTACCCAGCCCCAGCTGCTTTCTGGAGCCTGCAGCGGGGCTCCCCTGCGTTTAGTGACAGTGTGGGGCACCCCCAGCTTCAAAGCAGCCCTGCGAGGGCAGCGCCAGGGCTGGCAAATGGGCCCCGATGCTCCCGGGTGCGGGGCTGGATTCGGGGCCCGCCAGGGCGGGGACACCAAGCTCCAACTTGCAGGCGGCTGTGGAGGGTGAGGGAGCAGAGTGCGGCAACACTGTCTTTGCTGATGGCTTGGTTGGAAATGAGGATACTGCATCTTTCAGGATTTCCCTTGTACTTTTGACCGTCTTCACTGTATACTCTCCAGTGACTTGTATTTCCAAGCTTGGTGTTGTAAGATGCATTATTATGACTCTTCTGTTACCCCTTTTTAATGACAAAAAAAAGCAACCTCTTTTGAGAGCTCCGACATTAACCAGACTAATTTCTCTTCCCCACTGTCCTGTGCAGTGTCATTGCTTGTTGACTTGCTGGTTTCCTTTTTTTGAAATACAACTGAAGTATGAGGGGATTTTTTTGAAACTATTTAAGAGATTGCAGAAAAATGTTTACCTGCTCTGTGTATTCTGGGTTTTTCTTAACCCCTTTTCTCCTGTTTCAGTCAATATTAGCGTTTACATTTGCAGCTACATGTCCCTTCAAATGCAGTTTTCAACCATTCTGAAACCAGCAGGGTACACTAGGTTTCTTAGTAGTTTTCTTAGCTGAACTCCCAGATCTTTTCCTTTTTTTCTTCAGTATAATTTACCAGAAAGAATTAACTGATGCATTTTTGTGTTGTCTTCTCCTTCAGTAGTTATATTTTGTCTTTTCTGCACATCTGTCTACTAATAAAAATGTGAAATGAAAATATGCTGTTACTTTCATGTTTGAACTGGTTGCATTGCATGGGTTCCTCAAAGCTTTGAATAACAGCTGTTCACGACCTCATTGCTCCTCTGGCATCAATGGACATATTTATACACCAATATCTTTAAGTTTATTGCAAAATAATGCTGCAGTTTGACAGCTGCCTGCACCTAAAACTAAAGAACAAACTGATTTAGAGGACTCTGGCAAAAGGCCAGACCTTTGCTGTTATATTTAGTCTCCCTAAGCAGGAAGGGGCAGACCAGTGAGAAGGTGGTCTGTGGATTCATGTGACCAGAGCAGGGATGCAGGATTTGGGCCAGAGCTCCCGGTGCCCTGGCAGGGCAGGAGCACGGAGCTCCTGAAAGGGATGGACGGGGTGGGAGAGGAGTTTGACTGTGGGGCCAGGGAGAAGCTTTGGCAGAGAAATTGAGGTCACGGCTGTCAGCCCTGCCAGGTGCCAGCCCTGCCGGTCCCGCGCTGTTCCCTGCAGGCTCGGGAGGGGAGCAGGGTGTTTGCAGTGCCCAGCTGCTGCAGTCGAGCTAAAATTAGTGGGACAAGTGTCAGGGAGTTGCACTGGCTGCACTTGGTATCGATGGCAGCACAGCAACTGCTGAGTCAAATGTGGCTGGAGCCCAAGTGCTTCTGCTGCACAGCTGAGCTGGAGGGAGTGTGATGGCATTTTGGAGCTGCCTTCCCAAAGCAATCTCCAATCTCTGGAAAGGGGCCGGGAGGGATGGTTCTGTCTGGGACCTGGGCTGCTCGTATCTCCTGCCTGACCCTACAGCACTGGGCTGCCCAGAGCTGCCAGCAGCTGCTTCCTCCAGCAGCAGTGTGGGACCAGAGGAAGGGCAAGGGCTCCAGCCCACCCTGCCCTGGTTAAGTCTGGGGGGCAGCAAAGGGGGGTTTTCCTCTTCTCTCCTTGGTGGCCAAGTGCAACTGGGCAACCTTGCCTCTGCCATCAGCAGAACAGGGCTTAGAGTGAAATTGCTGCAGGCAAGTCCTGCCAAAGAGACAATGTGGGGGAAAGGGGAAACATTTTGTTGAGTCTCACAAGGAGGAGAGGAGCCTGCCTGTGGCTGTGTGGGCAGGACCCCAGAGCAGCTGGGAAGGTGTGAGTCCTGAGGCTCAGGGGCTGCTGGGGGTTGGCACCATCTCTCCCCTGTTGCTTTTCCCCAGCTCCAGCTGCTGCTGGACACGCACGCAAGAACCGAGCTACACCTGCGGGGCAGCGCTGGATGTCTGTAAACAAGACCTGGAGAGTGAAGGCAGCTCTGGGGCAGTCTGTGTTTTGAAGAGGGTGAATGAGGTGCTGCTGCAGTCTTGTACAAACTGATGGGCCCCAGCCTGCAGAAACATTTTTGCCCTCCTTGACATTCAGGCCCCAAAGCTGTTGACAGTGGGACAGCAGCTGAAAAGGGCTTGGAGCAGCTGCTGGAGTTCAACCAGTGACAAAACTTAAGGCACGGCAGAGGAATGCCATTGTAATTCTCCTGCTGTTCAGAGCCTGGGGGAGGCCTAGGTGATAACTGGGCCTCACAGGGCCAGCTGAGAAAGAAAAATGGTTCTCAGGGTAGAAACAGATTTATTTTTTCTTGTGGATACTAAAAGAATAAAAGCTCCTTGCCTGTTGTGTGTTTCACATTTACCCACTTCCTCTGCTGCACAGGGACAGGGTGGTCAGAGGGTAAGTCTGGGCAGGAGCCTTCTTCCCTCAGGAGCTCTCACACCCCAGCCCTTCCTCCCAGTGGAGCCCATGGACCTCGTGAGCAAAGTGCGAGGGCAGAGCTGCAGCTGTGCTTTGTCCTTACCAATGCAGCTGCTCACAGGGACTGGAGCACCATCCCAGGAGAACCAAAGGCAGAACGGGCTGCTCATGGCAGCAGGGAGGATGTGGCTCTGGATCCCATCCCTGCCGGTGGTGCCCGAGA